GGACTGACTGGCTTTAAGTAGTTTTTTTTTTTCTTGATGATTGTATAGAAACAGCTAGGATCTCACAACAACAAGAAAGATGGGAGTTGGCAACTCTTCTGGAGTGGAGAAAAAAAACATGGGCTCATTGAAGCAATTTTCAAGAATTTGGAGAAATGAGTAGAGTGAGGGAACATTCATGCTAATTTCTAGATTCTTTTGTCTTTGTCCATACTTATCCAGCCATGAAAATTATTTTACTAAACTGCAAGAACCCTGAGAGATGATGTGACCCATCTCAAAGAACCATCATTTTGAGCACTTTTTATTAGTTCAAACAGTGATTGAGCAATAGAAATTTGTTTGAAATGTCGGTTTTATTATAATGCCATGTTTTATTAGTAAAGTAAACATTTTAATATGATATTATGCCCTTCACTTGCTGATTAATTCAGTTCAAACAAGATACCAAACAATTTTCCTGCTCTGAAATGATGGCTCTGCCACGGTGTGCGAGAAGCACTAAAAGTACATGTGACAAATTAAAACCACTTTAAGATGAGATGTGCCCTGCAAAGCACGCTCTACAGATTAGTTAGCACTTTGCACTGTAATCCTGGACACACATGTTGCTGCAATGAAAGTGTGTTTGAGAAGCAGTCAAAAAAAATCTATGATAGTATAGAGRGGGAAAACATTTTCATATTTAGATCTGATTTTTGTCGTAAACTTGGCTGCAGCCTGGAGCTAAAATTAAAGCAACATAAGCTAATGTATTCAGACTGAAATACATTTGTTCAGATCTACTCAGGTTTTAAAGTCCCGAGCAAAAAAGAGACAGATGCACATGTATGGAGCTATGAGTCGATTTTGTAGCATTGGTTTGTTAAACAGGCAACTTCACCCTGAGGCTTTTTTAGATATTCAGACCGAAAAGGCAAAGACAATGTGTCAGGAACAAATAGCTTACAGGAAGAAATCAATTAATGTGTTGATGTGTTTGTATTTGTTGTTTTTAAAGACCCTGCGTGAATTACTGTACTTTTTTGTTATCTGTCCACCTGAGATACTGAACAGAGATGCACCAATCGGAGTTGAAACCTAGCGGAGTCAGTTATCCTTTAAAGGGATCCCTGATTAGTTGTAATATTAAATTTTATTTGAAATACATATATTTTAATAACTCTGTTTAAATAGGCTGTTTTGCAAATTTTTAAAAATATATTTTGACACAGACGGAGCCATTTTATTTACACGCAAAGCATTCTGGGTAAATGATGACGTGGATAGGTCCTCGGTGCGAGGCTGCTTGCGAGCTATATCCATCTTGTAGGTTATTGGTATTGGTATTGGTAATTGGGGATGGGTACAACCCAGGTGAGCGGGGGCCTCATAAGTGGGCCCATTGCTCCCCCCAAAAGATACTGGGCTTTAATCAAACCTTTTTGTCCCTCGGATGAAGGACACCAGGTTAGAAACACTCAGTGTTCTAAGCTTCTCGGGATCCACAAAGGGGTCTCCAAGAATTCTTTCCCTTATGGTGCGTTCACACCAAACGCGATTTCAGCGTCAGGAGCAGCAGGTTTACAT